GGCGCAGCGCTCTCGGGCTCCCGCCCCCCACGAGTGGAGTCGGGTTACAGCCCGGCGCCAGGCCCGCAGGGGGTGGGGGCGGACGGACCGGCGCAGCCCTTCCGCGGACCGCCCCGCCCCCGGGCTGGGGGCGCCCCCTCCGTTTCCAGTCTCCCACCTGAGCGGCTGGGAGCTGACCTCCAATCGCCGGGCTGCTCCGAGCCCCGTCCGGACAGGAGGGCACAGCTCCAGCTCCCACCCCAGCTGGCTGAGAGCCAAGTCCGGCCCTGGGCCGCCCTCCCGGGGCGGAGTGAGGAGCGCCCGCCCCGCTTCCACTCTGCAGCCGGAGGGTCTGTGGGGACGTTAGGGCCCCCGGAAGGGCAGGCGGCTCCTCCGTGGCCTTGAACGACATGCACCCTGGAGCCTGGCCTCCATCTGCATCCTGGGGAGAAGCCCCTCCTGGTTTGCTCCCAGCGGGGCCCAGCCGTTTCCAGTGAAATGTGGCATTCCAAGGGACAACAGCCAGTCCGGGTGGTGACGCAAGTCTCCCCTTCCCCCTGCTTCCTCCTCCCAGATGAAATGGGGGGACAACACGGAGGGGTCGGAGAGCCCCAGGCAGACACCCCTGCCTCCAGTGACCTGTCCACAGCGAGGGAGGGAGAGGGCCCCTTCCCACATGCTCCTGCCCCTGGGCCCATGCCTGTACCACCCAGAGCCATCTGGGCAGGAAGCCAGAGGGGCCTGGGAAGAGGGAGGCCCAGGACCCTTGGGCCCAAGGTGAGGGAAGGGTGGACCCCAGCTCACTGTCTGCCCGGGGCCCCTCTCTCCTCCCAGGGCCGACTGCTTCGCGGTCCATCCAAAGGCTTCGAACCCTCCCTCCACGGAGCTGGACAGGTGCTGACTCTGCCGTGCAGATGTGCACACATCTGCTGGCTGGTCACTTTTCACAGCCCTACAGCTGCGGTCCAGCCCCTCAGTGTGCTTGTGCCTCAAGTCCTGGGGACAAGGCTGGCCAGACGCGGGGGTCCAGAGCCCGGCAGGGCTGCATCGACCCGACAACCTTTAGTAGCCAGGTGCCTTCATGGGCTTCCTTCACAACTGTGCCAGGCGGCAGGGAGGCGGGAGCCTGGAGCCAGATGCCACTCAGCCCTGCGTCTCTGGACCAGCTGCTTAACCCAGAGGCCGGGTGACACCGACAGCCCCACTACGGAGTAAATGCAGAAGGGCTTCGGCCCCTTCCTGGCTCCACCGCATTGACTCCTATTGCTCATTTCAGCACCTCTGGGGTCTGGAGCCCGTGTGCCCCACACTGCCCCACACTGTGTGCGCCTGGGCCGTAGCCTTGCCGTCCCAGAAGCCCCTGGGGCCCCCGGCCGCTCCCGGGGCACTGTCTCTGGCCCGTGACGTCAGCCACGGCGTTGTCCTGCCTGGGTTCCAGGCATCTGTGGGGCCGCTGCCCCTTCGGAGTCTGGAGCCAAAACATAACGGAGAACTAGGTGTTATCTTTGTTTGGCTTAAACCTTATTCTAGTTTGAGGTTATCGTGTCTTGGTCACGGTCGATGGACCTGAAGTTTTATTCTTTTTTTCTCTTTTAATAATTTTTTTATTCTTCAATTACCGTTGGCATACAATACTATATTAGTTTCAGGGGTACACCATGGTGATTAGACATTTGTATAACTTGCAAAGTGGTCCCCCCGGTAAACCTAGCCCTCGTCTGGCACCGTACACAGCTATGGCGATGATTGACTATATTCGCTACGCTGTAGTTTACATCCCCATGACGATTTTGTAACGACCAATTTGTACTTCCTAATCCCCTCCCCTTTTTTACTCCCCCAACTGAAGCTTTGTTCTTGAGTGAGCTTGATGCTGACCAGAACCTACTAAGTCCTACGGGCTTGGTGGTTAACGGCGTGGACACACGGCGGGCGCCCAGGCAGGCGAGCGCGGGCGGCGGTGCCGCAGGCGCATCGAGCGCTGCTGGGCTGAGCCGAGCGCGTGCTAAAGAAATGACGTTTCTGTCCGGTCACAGTTCCTCTCCTTTGATCGTTCCTCGATCTCGAAGGAACGAGCAATGACCTCTCTGGCTACTTCCCGCTGGAAAGGGGTGACCTGTGGGATGAGAGGGACGAAGCCTTTTGACCTGGAGCTGGGCGGCAGGGAGGACGTCAGGGGCCATTCGATTCGGGAGAACTAATTTCCGCCTTTGTGCCGGCAATGTCAGAGACGTACGCTCTGCCTCGAGCCATTGCGTGAAGTTGCAGTAAACTCAGCCAGTGCCTGGGTGTCCGGTTGGGCAGAAATACCAGTGTTTGGGGGGAAAAGAATAAAGACTGGCCAATCTCACCTTGTCATGCTCCTTGGTCATCTAGATCTGGCAAGTTATGGGGTCTTTCTGGGGGGGACTTACAGATTTTCCTGGGTAAGGATGGAAACCTAGTGCACCATGACCTACCCACCCACGGGGAGACACGGCCACAGGTTAGACCCACAAATCCACGAGCCGTCTTCGACGCCAGGTATGCTCCGGGAGAGAGAGATGTATTTTCTCTCCCAGCCCATTCGGGGTCCCAGACCTTATGTATGTAACCGCAAGCCTCTGGGGACACCCATCTGACTCGTCGAAAACCAAGGCCACATTGATTGGTCCGTTCTCTGCCAAAGGGGCCGTGAGGTCTGAGAGCCCGCGTCCTGTGCGGAGCCGCCCCAGCCCACCCGGATGCGATAACCAGAGGCATTAGCCCGTTTCTGAATGAGATCAGAACCACGTTTCTTTGTGTCTTTCCATAGTCAAATGGGGGGTCCCTGGGACGGGAGGGTGGGGAAAGGGGTCCCAGCTTAGCTGCGGTGACTCGATTGGGCCAACACTCCGAATCTGAGAAGGTCGAAGCATGATCGCTCAGGGCTTCACTCTGCACTGGACAGAGGCTGCTGCCCGCAGAGCCGGTGGTCCCACGGGTCCCGCGCCCCAGCACAGGGCGCGGCCGGGAGGGGAAGGCGGGGTTTGGAAGAAGAGACGGTTAGAAATTAGAAGGCGGGCAAGAGTTATGGGCCCTAGTTCTAAGTGGGCGCTTTGTCCTGATGACGCTTGGCTGGCCCTTGTCTTCCAGAGTCGCTCCATCCCGAGACAGGCTCACAGGAGGACGCCGGGGGCTGGGAGGCGGCTCCCACAGGAGGAAAGTCCGCGGCAGGCTGGATTCGAGGACGACTCCAAGGCTTGACTCCTGCCAGTCTGACGGCGGAAGAATGGGGGCTCGGTAAACCCCCGCAGCGCCCTCCGCATCTGGGGCCAAGCTGATCGTCGGGCTGTTTATTTTTCCAGATGTTTAAGAGCAGCCAATCTCCAGGATGAAAAGGGTGTAGGGGAACATTGTGGAGTAGTTCACGCTGTTGGAGGCAAACTTAAGGGCAAATCTTAAGGTCGTACATACCTTATAGTGTCTAATTCCTCGGCCTTTAAGACGTAGGGGGTCCCTTCCTCACAGTGCTTCACAAGGACTCGACTAGGTCCTCTCCGAGGGCGGCTCTGGTCCCCAGCAACGGGCGCTGCCTTACGTCAGTTTAAGTTAGGCTCTTGGCAGATCTTGGCAATTGTTTTCTTTAAAGTACGGTTCATTTTTTCTGAGTTTTGTTTGTTTGTGTTTTTTTGGTGTTTTCTTATTTTTTTGTTTTTTTATCTGGTAGAATGGGGCCTCCGGGAGGCGTGAAGTTTCCGTTGTATTGCTCAGAGCTCGTCTTGCTTCTTCCTTGGTCCTGGAAGCGGTGGCCAGTGTTCGGACGTGGAGTTTTATTTCTCCATTCAGGAAATCCGGTCCCGATGGTTGAAAACCTTGGAAGCAGTTTCTGTTCCTCGTGATGCTGGCGTCCCACAGGCGTCCTCGGCCTTTCCGAGTGTCTTCTGAATATCCGAAGCACTCTGGGTTCAACTGGTTTAGTTTTTCTTGGCTACTTAAGAAGGCTGTTAGCAGCCTCGCTTCCAGTGCAGGGCCTCTAGGTCTGTCCCCTTTAAAAGCTTCATTAAGCGGTTTTGCGATTAGTCCAAAGCTGGGGATCCATATCCTACAAAACCTCAGCATCCCCAGGGATCCGACGACGGGCGGTGGATGGCCGGGTTCTGAGAGTTCTCCTTGCGGAGGCGGTTAGCTTCCTCCCCGGCTTTTTCTGAGACGGTTCGCCGCTCCTACGCGGAGAGGTGGGATTCGGCATCGGTTGCCTGTCCATCGAAGCTGGGTTGCAGGAGGGAAACATAGAGGCAACCTGGAGGGGTCAGCCCTACGCCGACAGAGTGCCGCAGCCCCAGGTTAGGAGGTCGGAGGTGGAGAGGGGCGTGTCCACCCACCCACTCCTGCCGGCTGGCCGCTGGCATCCAGTCGTCCTGGTGGCTTCTGTCTTAATGGGCGTGGCGCCGCTTGGACTGGAGCAGTCTCCTGACCCAACTGGGTGGGTCAGCCCAACTGGGTGCCCCTTCGGGTGTGAGCCGGTCCCCACGTCAGCGGTGTCGGGCAGAGGGCGGCGTCCTCTCGCAGTTTCGTGGTTCCCGCAGACGTGGAGCAGCAGCGAGCGGCTCCATGTCTTCCTCTCCTTGGGGTGAGGTGTCTGACTAAATAGATTCCACCGGTTTCCCTGTGCTTTGCACCAACATTTTACATTTGAAGGTGACTTTACCCTGGTTAGAAATATCACAGGCACCTCGAACCGGGTGGCGCAGGTGCACGCAGAGGACGAAAGGGCTGGGAACCAGTGATTTTTCTTCCCTGCTTCTTGGCTGTCGCCCGTGGGTTTTATTTATTCGGTCAACGTGCGGATTAAGGCCCCGGCTGTGCCAGGACAGAGCGCTCACCTCCAGGAGCAGGCAGCCGGGGGAGAGGG